AACCTAAATAATTAAATCAACTGAGACGATATAGCAAAGAAACAGAATTGAAATAGTTAAAAAAGTGAACATATATCTTATGTTTGTCTATATGTTTTTTTCTATTACTCAATAGGTCTGGTTTTATTTCTAATAAATAATTGTTAATCCAAATCCCTCTTTTCAAATTACATTCTAGTAAATCTCTAGATAGCTTGTTTACCAATGTTAGAATATAAGTGCTTGGAATAAGTGGAAAGCTACACACTCCAGAGTTTACCACATATGAGTACAAATGGGAACAACTTTGTAATAAACTCTGGTTTATCAATAATTTGAAATATTAAATGACAATTAAAATAGATAAAATAGATCTACATAAATCAAAACAGTTAAAAATAAAAAAAGTTCAGTAAAAAGTTGCAAGTTTCAAATATAATTAAAATAACATGTTAAAAACAAAATAATATTGAAAATATTATGAGAATGACACGTGAATTTTAGGATTTTGATTCAGTCGTGCCTGTAGATTTTATCTTTCAGTACTTGCCCTAGTTATTTAACGCTAAAAATGATCCAAATATGGCAAATGTTAACATCTGTTAAATCTGGCAGTGGGGCATGGTAGTTTGATATGATTGTCTGTATGTTTCTCTACATTTAAAATAGTTCATATTTTAAAAATGGGCTCACAATTTCATAATTATAAAATAGCAAACATCTATTAGGCCTATTTATTTATTAGCCCTATTTATTAGCATAAAATCATATCAATATGCAAATTTTAAATTTTAAGATAACATGGAGAAACATTCTATTTTCTAGTGATTTATAGTGGTATAGATAAAGACCATCCTAGAAAGCCCATTTAAAGACAAAAAAGCAGTACTTCTCATAAATTGAATTTTCCAGACAGTGCTGTGCTTACCAAAGCTGTGAGTTTTAAGAATAAGTGAGAACATTTGAAGCATTTTTATCCTAGAAGGTTGGATTGTTTTTGAAAGTGGTCCTACTTGAAATTTAATGTTAGATATATGGATTTTTATAGATCTTCAGATTTGAAAAATATATTTTAACTGTCAATATACCAGAAGTTACCACCATTTACATCTAGTTCTAATGAATCTTAAAATTAAATATGTATCTTATGCCATGTTATGAATAATTTATAGACGTAAGTATACAATTTTTAAAGTATGAGAAATTTTAGTAAGAATTTAAAAATAGTGAACACAATTTTTATTTCATATTTTTTTGGTTTTGAAAGTATGTTTATTCACAATGGGCAATGTTGGTTGAATGTAACTATCTGCTAACTTGTTATTAATAAACCTGGAATATAGCCATTTTGTAAATAGTGATTTCAGATTTCAAATACATTTCTATTAGATTGTAATTTATCATGTCTTCTTGTTCTTATATTCATATTGCCAAAATGTAATACTTTAAAAAACTCTCATGGGAAGGTTTTGTTGAAGGATGGTCATTCCTGCAATACATTTTGATTTTTAGATTTATCAGCACCAATTAGTCACCAATAGTTCCACTGATTTTTTTTCATTTCTACATCATTTAATTCCTTTCATTCACCTTTGTGTACATGGTTGTCTTTAGCATATTTTAGCTTAGAGACTGTATCAAGTAAATTTGGGGAGACATCATAAAAGCTGAAAGAAAACTATCATTTTGCAAAATTAGATAGTCCAGATCCTTGTCATATAATATGGCAGGGTTAAGCCCTTCATGTTGAGTGCTTGGATGAAAATACCATATTTCTTTGTTGTTTTTGGAAATATATAGCCACTCATTCATTCCCAAGTGTGAGAACACTTATCCAGAATATGCATCTGAAGACTCATCGTCTGAGTTTTGTTCAGAGACCATGAGTCTTGCTTACAAGATCAATTCCCAGGTTTCATCATTAGGATGTAGAGTACTGCTCTTTGTCTCTTCGCATTCACCTTTAGATTTCTTTAATTATAGAAGTTCCTGTCTTTCTTCTGTACCTTCCATTAAGAGCAAAAGCCAAAAAATTCTTAACTGTCAACAATTATTCCTTGAAAGCTAAAGGGGAAAAAAAGACTAAAGATACTGTTTGTCCAAAACATTGACACCTTCTTGAAAGATGATGCAACAATACTTTGGGCTACATGAAAACCAAAGGGTGATATACTAATGATAATTTATTTTATTGCATTATCCTTTTAAGAGATTTGATCATTGTTTCATTTCCTTAGGAAAGGAGTCATTGTCTCCTTCCTCTTCTTCCTCCTTCCCCTCCCCTCCCCCTCCCCTCCTCCTTTTGCATATCTGGGAATACCTGGTTAGTAATGATAAATTAATTCCTGGGATAATTACAAGATGTTTCAAAGAATATAAATCACTAAGATTTCATAATATAAGATTTATGAGTCCAAGGAACCCATTAGAAATGACAAGTTTTATTCATTTTTTAAAATGTAAATTTTTAGGCTGGGGCTGTAGCTCAGTAGTACAGTTGCCTAGGTACTTGCCTAGGGGAAATTAGGCCTTGGATTCAATCTCCCTAGCACTAGGAATAAAAAATGTAAATTTTCTCTTTGTCCTTTGAAAGATATCTAAGACTAAAAGTTATAAAATATTAGAACTGCTCAAATAGAAACTCAAAAATAAAATTTCCAATGGGTTTGGATGCTATCCTTAGGATCATAAAACATTTTTAATGTCATTGAAAAAAATTTTTTTAGGGAATTACAAATTTTATGAAGGCCAACTGTATGTTAATCAATCTAAATCACAGAGGTAGGGTTCCCAGCCCATGTTCTTTAAAAAATAAAGGGCTAGGCACATAGGGTATCTGTTTTTTTTTTTTGGTACCGGGGATCGAACTCGGGTCCTTGCACTTGCGAGGCAGGCGGCGGAACCACTGAGCTAAATCCCTGGCCCGGTATCTCTGTTCTTGAATGCCTTACCAGTCAAGCCAGAGGTAACTAACTGTTCTAGGGTGGATGGACAGTTGGCCCAGATTGAGAATATGAATTCTTTCCCCAGATTTTATTTTCCCTCTTTTTTTTTTTTTGGCACTGGGGATCGAACTCGGGACCTTGCGCTTGCAAGGCAGGCACCGCAACCACTGAGCTAAATCCCCGGCCATTCCCCAGATTTTAAATCATGAGAAAAACAATGGACACTAGAGCCAAAGAGGTACACTAGAACTAGCAACTAGAGCCCAAAGTCTAGAGAAGGCCTAAACTGCACAGAAGCCGGAAAGATAATTCATAAAGAGAATCTTTTATGCTGAGACTGCTTCAAGTCCAGGTTGAGATATTATTCATGAGTTTGAAAAACCTCAGGTGCCTAGTGACTGAGAGTATCCAGCAAAAGCCAGAATAGATTGGGAAGTCCAACCTTTTCCACAGGATAAAATGTTGATGCCCAACCCCTTGTGAAACTTTCAGATTGGAATGTAACTTGTGGAGGTGAGGGGTTTGCAGGGACAGTCTAGGGAAGAGGTGCTTTCTTGTCCCTACAATTTAGCCTCTTTTCATCATTTGTCCTTATTTTCTGTTGAAGATAAGGCCATTAGGAAGACATAACGGGGATAAGAAGAGCTGAATAACAAAAATCCTAAAGGAATAGTCATTAGGAAGCCTGGTGATTAAAGGAGCAAATTTATCCCACAAAAATGCCTGTCATTATCTTTCAATCAGTCCTGCACTTGAGAAAGACAATGATTGAAAGCCCACTACAGTTCTGGGGTAGATATCACCAGTGGAACCTTACTCTTGACCAAGTACCTGCACCAACTCAAATCAACATAGTATTGAGTCCTGGCCTCCTCTGCAGACTCCAGACTCAAGTGGTAAAATGATGCTAGCACCAGATAATTCTTAATGGAGAGGACTCCTTCCCATTGTTCCTTAGAAGAGCAGGCTTGAAACAATGGAAAAGGAAATCTAATGAGCAGATCCTAGGACTGTCGGACATGATTGAGGAATTTTTGATATTGCCACAGGAGACAAGAAACTGACTCAGGACATTTAGTGGTCTGGACCAGTGATCTGTACATGAACCTGTTTTCTAGGTTTCTTCCTTACCTCCAAGACAACTTCCTTTTCTAATTGATAATTTTTAATACTGTCTTTCCTGCTATCTTGGTGGTTATGTTGGTAGTGAAATGTGCCAGTAAACTTGGAAGATGTCATTCTGTTAGGATGGTGATCAAATGGACCACATGGAAACTGGAGAGCTGGCATTTGTAGCTGCACATATGTTGGATCATATTAGGTAATATTTTAAAGGATGAGTTTATTCTACAGAGATGAAATATAGTCAAATCAATCTAGCCTATACAAACTTCTTGGGAATGATTCTAAAACTCCCATTCATTTACCTGGTGACAATATTTTCAAAGTTACCACAGTTGGACTACAAGGTTTTGTGTACAGTGCATGTTCATATGAAGATGTCCTGCCCCAGTGTCCTACCCACTAGTTGAGATGCCTCATCAGACTCAGATTTAATGTCTGAAGAATTTGAAGGAAGAGATACAAGGATGGAGGGAAGCAACGGTTACTGTGGTTGCGAGAGTCTAGAGAGTTGGTTTTTGGTCTGCACCAAAGCTGGTCAAAGGCAGAACTGGGGCGATGGAAACAGGAGTAACACATCACCCTATGTGGGGAAGTGGAAATGGACAGAAACCAGTTCAAAGAATTCAGTGTATGCATAGATGATTACCAATAACAGAAAAAGAACAAGGAAGGAGAAACACAGAGGGAAAAAGAGAACAAACAGGGTGAATAGGTAACAGAGACAGACTGCCAGGGAGCAGTCAGAGTGTATACAGGGGTCACTGATGGCGATGTTCTAGCTTCTACAATGTTTAGCTATACTTTCTTCAATTAAGTTCTAGATTTCTAATTCCTTTTTTTAAAAAAAATAATTCCGAGTTTACAAGCAATTTTAGGTACTTTTCTGATTCTCACAATCAAACTATTCTTGACCTAAACAGCTGCTCCATTAACCACTGGACATAACTTTAGTTGCATCTTTTAAATGTTTAATTTCCAACTATGACAATATAATTCTTTGTAACACCTTTACTAATGTCCAAAGACAGGCCAGGTTTCATTTACTAATAACAGGTAACATTTACTGAGCAATTTCTTCGGGACAATTTCAAAACCATCTCACCAATTCTTCAAAACCAATGAAGTAGGTTCTATTATTATCATTCCCCTTTTACCAATTAAGAAATTAGGGCACAAAATAAGATGAAGTAATTTGTTCAAGATCACCTTAAGTAAAGGAATAAAGCTGGATTTATTATTTATTTACATTAACACTGACATCTGAAAAATAAAACTACAAGTTTATATACACATTAAAAATTCATTTCAATCAATAAATTTTTGTTGAATGCCCAGTAAGTACAAAGTACTAATTTAAACTAATAAACTGGTTAGTCAATTTTATAAAGTCCTTTTATATATCAGTATCACAATAATCTTTCTTTCTGTGGTCCACCAAAATAAAGTACATTTTTTTAAATTTCCAAAATGCCTCCTTTAAAACAGAATAGTTTCCAACAATGCTATTTTCAATACATTATTTCAAAACTCACTGGAATACTTGAAGAGTTTTTGCTACCTTGACTTCACATTGATAGCTATCTATCTATCTATATATACATATCCATTTAATTAATTACAGAGTAAGTTACACATGTACATAAAAAAGTAAAATGATGAGGAGAGGAGTTTTTCATGGAAGGTGGTGAGTTGCCATGGATTCTGCTTCTCTTGATTTTCTGAGCAGGGCCTGTTTGAGGGCACTAATTTTCTCATCAAGTTCAGCCAGGGAATAGTTCTGCTATAAACAATAACACAGATTGCTGAATAAGACTCTGAAGTATCTTAATGCAGATAAAGTGCTAAATGAACTATAAATATTTAAAATATTCAACAGCTTGATGAAATATTTTTTCTCATGAGAATAATTTTAAAAACTGACCTATATATAGTGACTATAGTATAAATCAAAAGGTATAAAACAAGACTTAAATATTTCTTTCTTTTGCCTAAGGAAAAACTCTCCTGAATCTTCTGTACTTTGAAAGGCTAGAAAAACTTTAAAAAATATATACTCTTATGATCAATAGTAAGACATTAAACTTTAGGATTAGTTTAACCTTAAAATACTTAGAAGTTTAATTATGAGGGCTCGACTACTTCAGGAAAAAAAAAAGGCTACTCTCAAAATATATACCCGGAATTGTATGACAAATAAATATTAAAAAATAAGCCAAGCATGTGCAGGGCCCTGGGTTTGATCACTAGCATTGCAAAAGAAAAAAAATTTTTTTAATGTTTTCCCCAACTTTAAATTTACATTATCACCATTCAGGGTAGAAAAACCTTACTATTTAAAATTCAACTAATTAATATAGTAGTACTTTCAACAGAGGTTGGGTGAAGTCACCCTCTGACAAATACCCTTTGCTTTGGATTCTGCTAATCCGTAGTGTTCACAAAGGGGTAATGGGAGACTTCAGCACTTTTAAGCACTCTGTAGTTGATATATTCATCTGCTGTTTTAAGCAGGATAAAGATTTTTATATTTAACCCATCTTAGTCATTCAATGTCCTTGAACTGCAATTATGGCTCCAATTTAACTATATTAGTTTATACTGCCCTTTTCTTCAGTCCTAAATCTTACCAGGGTATGACCAAAAGGCAAGCACAGTAGGAACTTTTATTAATAAGATATAAATCTAATCAATCTATTTCAGAAGCCAAAATGAAGATCCAGTAACTTACTTGAGGTGGCTGAACTTTTCTTCTTTTTCCAGAAAAGTTCTTGTTTTAAAAGTAAAAAAAAAAAAAAAGGTAAATAAGTATTTTTAAAATATAAGCATCATTTTCTTTATAGCATACTGAATAAAACATAGACAGCCTTTGGGAGCTCTGACAGAAACAAAGCCTACAAATTTATCAAGTGTTTTGTGTAATTGATACCCACTATCAATTTAAAGTATATAGGATGTGGTAACAGTGAACAACATGCTTTTCTCTAGCAGTACATACTTTCCCACTAATTACCAGCTTCTAATGAGCCTTTGTCACTGCAGAAGGAGGTGTTCTCAGAGTTCTTCTACTTAGTTTCTTTTTTATAACCTTTGTATACTAGGATATTGGACAAGTGAAGTGAAGCAACAATAGAGGAAATTGAAATTTGGTATATTAGGCCAAAGGAAGCGAACCCTCCCCCCTTACTTCACTGACTATTATGGGTACTGTGGCTGTCTATGCAAGCAACCCTTTATCCACTGATTGTCTATGTGACTAAGGGAATGTTGAACCATCCACTGTCCTATCAGTGACTAAAATGAGTATGGACCCAATTCTGGCTCTTGAGTAAGAGGTCTACTGGGGATTAAGAGGCAACCTTATAGAAAAAGCTTCCTCCCTTTTGTTGAGAGAAAGCACTCACAAAAGCCAATTCCTATGGACACTGCAGTATCTGGATAAGAAACCGGAATGTGCTACAGCTGTCCTACCATCTGCCTAAGGAAGAAGCCAACACCAAGCAGAGCTGAGAGGAGAAAGAACTCGGTTCTTTGACAGTCATAACTTAGCCACTGAATCAATGAATGTGTTACCACTGGATGTCCTATTTTATATTTCCATACTGTTTAAGCCAGTTCGAGTTCAAATTTTATGTAAAGATGACAACATTCACATTGATACACTGCCTTTCGAACCTTTATCTAATGAATTCTTTCTATACTTTGCTCTTAGTTTTACAACATCACAAAGTTTTGAATGTCAAATTAGCAAATGAGTCTATTTCATGAAACTGAATGTAGGTTGCAAAATTTTCTCACTAATATTTCTGACCACTGAGATTTACAGGTTATACATATATATCCTTTCCTTTGTGCCAAAAGCTGATCCAAAGAACATCTAGATATACATCTTATCAGTAATAACAACAGGAAAACATTAAGTGTCAGAATTAATAAATATGGAATAACAGAGCTCAGATAAATATGCTCCTTCCTTTACCAAAATAAGCCAGATACCTGTGGTGGGGTCTTGAGGCAAGTAAGAGCTTAATGCTTAATTCCTTTGTTGCTCAGTCTCCTACTTTCCCAAGGGGTAACTTTTATACACTGGATGAAAATACACTTCATCTTGTGGTCATAACAATTTAATCTGTAGACTATCAATACGTTCTATGTCATTAAGCAATCAGATTATTTCTGTATGATGATATCAAAATGAAAAATATCAGAATGAGGAGAATAAGGGTATAAGTGGATCAATGACTTAAAAACATAGGAAAATGAGTCTGTGGGGCTTATTTTAGGCCTGAGCAGAATATTTTCACATTTAGACAGGATTTAAAACTTGTTTTAGAGGGCTGGGGATTTAGCTCAGCGGTTCCAGCACCTACCTTGCAAGCGCAAGGTCCTGAGTTCAATCCCCGGAACCAAAACAAAAAACAATACAAAAAAAACTTGTTTTAGATGTAAGTACAGCTCAATCCAAAAGGTGGCAATTTTAACATGTTTTGATACTTAAGAGAAAATATCTGGGAGCATAGCATACTAAAGAAACAACTGTACAGAGATAATTCTTCATTGTCTCTTCCCTCCCAATATTCTACCATGGCATCAACAATGCCTATAGCCTAATGAAAATGTTATATACATATGTCCAAGGAATGCCTGGTCTAAAGAAACTGAAGGGTAAAGAGGCCTCTTCTCAACCAGTCACCTTCTTTTCTTTTAATCAGTTGTAAAGGATAACTGTTTCTAAAAATAGAGTATCTTAAATGTTTTTTCCCTCCAATTCTACTGTCTTGATTCAAACTTTCATTTCTTTCTAATTTGGATGACATGACTTGCTTTCTAAATTAGTTTCTGTGACACCATTTAGACTTCATAATGCTACCAGATAGGAACCTAAACCACACGTTCATTTCTTGTTTTCTTTCTCAAAAACTTAACTGTACTCTGATTATATTGGAAGTCCAAACTGGATAGTGTAACTGTCAAGGCCTACCAAAATGTGTACACAATCTAATTTTCCAGCTGGATACAACTGTTCACTCATACTTCAGGGCCACCATGAACTTTCATGCATACACGATCTGTGCCCATGTTGACTTGGTCTTCAGCACATTCCTCTCCCAGCATAACCTCTCCCATTTTGGAACCAGGACTTTCTTACATTAGTGACTAAAATTATGTCTGGTTACTGCTTTGTGGCAGTTAACATACCTTCAGAAGTCTAGTAATTAACTATTAGCCGTGTTCTATATATTCATTCATGCATTTACTCAGTGGTACTAGGTTCCACGTGCTCAAAGACAAACAAGACACAGTTCTTGGTTTTGAAAGGTTTAAAATATAGTGTGACTAGACACATAAACACATAATTGTAAGTGATAAGTGCTATAAAATGAACAAAGTGCTGTGAAAATATACTTGTAAAGCATGTTCTACTTGCTGTTTTCAAGTATCATAATTTAAAATCAGTAAGTCAGTCTTTTGAAATACTCATGAGATTCTATCTTTTAAATAGCCTATTAACTCATGCTCTTAAAATTTGAAAATATTAGCACATTAAAACTTTTCCATGTTTTAACATGAAGGGTAAGGATCTTCAACACAATTACATTAAAAGATGCAACAAACATTGTTTTCATAATTCCTGTTTTATATGCATTGTAACTTAGTTTGGAATTTTATGTATTTCATTAAATGAAAAGAACTTCATACAACCTGCTTTAGTTTTATGAATTATATAAAATTTTATAAACCTCATTTTACATTTGAGAGCAGTAAATCTCTAAACTTCTTTTTCCAAATTTTGTCATTTAGGACCTACTGCCCTCCTTCTTTTATTACGTGACCTGCCTTCTTCCTCTGTAAATACTTCTCCTTCTATAATTCACTCAAATATATTCAAAAGATTGCTATTGTACCTAAAATGAATTTTAAATATATTTCACCAGTAATTTATATGATCCATGCTAATATGAGCTATTTTACATAAAAATATATAGTATAATCTTACTTTACATTATTTTAGTTCTAATACAGTACAGCTTTTTAAAAAATCTCAGAAAAGGTATATATAATCACCTCAGAAGACAGAGGGAAAACAATGAGCTCAGAATTGTTGGAAAAAGGCTGATGTGCCAAAGATACTTATCAATCCATATACTTTCTTAGTGTCCATGGAAAAGAGACGAAAGAATGAATGAATGCCAGAACTGAGGAATTACACAAATACAGACTAGTCTTTTTTTTTTTTGTTTGGTACCAGAGATCGAACTCGGATCCTTCCGCTTGCAAGGCAGGCAGTGGAACCACTGAGCTAAATCCCCGGCCAGACTAGTCTTTTTAAAATTCTGTTAGTTAAGAAAAATCTTGAGGTTTATGCTTGTTTAGTATGGACAAATGGTAACTGTCTATGAGCTGAGGGAAATCATTTGAGGGAGAATTACATAGACAGAGGATAACTGACAGAGCAAGGGGCCAGAGGAAGCACTTACAGGACAGCAAGTTCAGAGTTACAACACTGACCATCATCCGAGCTGGTTTCTTATGCCATGAAAATGGCCTAAAGGAGTTTGGAGAATGCATCATAGAAGTATCCCTTTTGAAAAACTTCTAAATTTTTGAAAGAGTCAAGTCAGAATTTTAAAACAACTAGATAACTCCCTAACATAAGACTCTGCTCATTTACCTTTGAATTATTAAAAAGTTTTTTACACATATATCAATGAGTGAACTGTTATACAATGAAAAATCCTAAAATAATACTTTCCTTATTTTTGAACTATATTTATACTTACCACAGATTGAAAATATTCAGGAGAGATGCCTTCCAATTCAAGGATTTTATCTTCAAGTTTTTTAATTCTCTGATAAATGTCTCTTGGAACTGGACCACCTAAATATGTTTTAAAAAGTGAAGCACTACTGAATAGTTTCTTATCATTTTTATTCTTAAAATACCATGCAAACATACTTTGTAAAGAAAGAAGAAATATTTAAACTTAAGAAAATAAAGTAAAATAGAATGAAATCCTTAGCTCATATTTTCATATTATACACTATGGGACAAATTATATTATACCTCCTCTGTCCAAATCCTTATGTTTCCACTATTGCTAGGAGTTTTATGTTAAATTTATAAGATATTGACTAGTTTCAGTGTAGAACAACTTATATTTCTGATGGGTGTTGAAAGTTTCTTGAGAGGGTAAAAATGAAGGGATAAAGGATAATTTAATTCATTGATTGAAGTACGTCATATTATTTTCAATTTATATTTCTCCCTACATGCTATACTTTCTCCTCTGACCTAGAATAATACTAAAAAGAAGTGTTAGCAATAATTATAAACAAATTTTGGGGACGGGGGATAATAAATTAAGGCCATTGGAAGTTTCAGCTTATGAATGTATCTAATTCTTATCATATCCACTGGAACTCTTCTGGTCTAGACTACTACCTTCTCTTCCTGGATTATCACAACCTCCCAACTGGTCTCCCTAATTCTGCCTTGCTTTCAAAGATTATATTCTCAACCCCTCGGCCACTGATCCTTTTAAAATGTAAGTCAGATCATGTCACTTTTCTGTTCAAACCTTCAAGTACTTTAACATTTCATTTAGACTACAACCCAAAGCATTTACAATGATATAGAAGGCCTCACAATGGCCTACATAGCCCTACATTCCCCTTGTACACCTATGGTTTCAGTTTTTCAATTCCTTTTTGTTATTCAAGTAGGCCAGACACCCTGACAGCTTTAGCCACTGTGGTTCCCTCTACCTCCAAAATCCCCTCTTGTCAACGTCAGGTTTTAGCTTCAAAGTGAACATCAGTAAGGGCTTCTCTGATCATTCTTTTAAAAACACTAGTGCTACCACATCCTCCTACCCAGCACTCCCTATCCTCCTTACCTTAATTTCCCTCACACAGTTATTGCTTAACTACATTCTGTTTGACTCCCACTCTGATGTAAGCTCCAAGAGGACTGAGATTTATGTACTTTGTTTACAGCTTGTGCACTGCACAAACCTAGGAAGCATCAATTCATAGTTTACAATGCTTGGCACAGAACAGGTGCCCAATATTTACTCATTGAATGAACACAATGAGACAATCATTATTCAATTAAAGAATACCGGTAAAGGTATTATGTCAAAGGTACCAACTTGTTAAATACAAAAAGTCTAGAATTTTTTTTAGGGGAGGCTGTGTTTTTAATCTTAGGACCTTAGTTGTTCTTACTCTGGTTAAGATAAAATAAATAACTTTTTCTTTTGACTTTGCTCTTTCTTTACCTAAAACATCTCCTTATTCCTGTGCCTTTCAAGAGCCAGTTCAAGGTTCATTGGGTCATGAAGGTTGTCTGAACCTCTTCAAAGGGAGGTTTCTTGTGTTCCCTCCCCCGACTATAACCTTCTTCACTGCATCCTTAAAATTCTACTTCACTATGTATAGTATTTCTTTTACCGAGATTATAAAACCCTTGAAGCCGAGGCCTCTGACTACATTATCTCAGTATTCCTTGTTCTTAAAAATTGTGTTTGGCACATAGTGAGCATTCAACAGAAATTTTCCAAAGAATTAACCTCTTGATACTGTTAGAGATTTCATTAGTCAATCCTTGTATACAATTGCATTTTAAATGCATCTACTTCTGGAAGAGGGGATTTACTCTTAATATTAATGTCTTATTACCCTTTTCTACCTCCATCCAGCAAATACCCCAGCTAGACTGGGTTTGGAAATTTGTGACTCTGTCCTTTCTGGTGGACATCATTCCCTCTTTTTGGAAAGCTTTGCTCCTGCTGTTTCCTCTTTGGGGGATGCTTTGTTCCCTTCAAGGGCTCAAATGTCACTTCATCAGGGATGCCATACCTTGACCTCCCCTGAAAGAGCTTAGCACTTAACTCTGTCCCATGGCACATCCACATATCTGAAAAGGTGAAATGAGCAACTGTTCATTCAGTAAACACTGGAGCACCTGCTTTATGCTGGGTGTTACACTAGGTATAAATGGTGATGAACATGACATAGTTCCACTCTGACAGACCTTACTACCTAACAGGACACATGAACATTTAACAAACACAACTGTAATGACTGCTTTAAAGGATGGCAGGAAGAACCAGGTGCTAGGAAGCTATATAAAAAGGGAGTCCGCACTGATCTGGGATCAGGAAGCAGAGTACAGGTACAAAGGCCATAGAATAGCCAAATGTGTAGGAAATGAAAAGCCCAGATATATGGCTGGAACTAATGCATGCACTATTCTCTTTAAAATTATTCTCCTCAGCCCCAATCTCCTTTCCCTTCTCTTGGTCAAGGTAAGGTGCTTTTATCATTAGCCATTCTCTTTGAGCATACTATATAAATTTATTATTTATACCAGCTGTCTCCTACAAATAGGATTCCTGTTCAGATGTAGCCTCAGTATCTAGAATAGTGGCTTAAACAGGAGCTTAATGCTATTTGTTGAATGAATGGTTAAATAATAAGTTTGGTGTGCATGTAAGGCCTATAGAAAACCATTACAGAATTTTTAGCTGAGTAGATACAACACCATTTTTTCAGCTGTCACTTACTACTTTGGGCACATTGTTTGAGGTCTCTGAAATTCAGTAACTTTATTTGTACAATAATAACAGCAACAACACCTCAAAAATATAGTTAAGTACTAAGTTGACATATGCATACTTTCAGAGTGACTGGCAGTAATGTTTGATGAATGTTTGTTCACTTTCCCTATAGCATTATTTATATGCTTATCCTCACTGAGAGGTCCCAGAGGACTTGAACCACATTTATCAACACTTTGTACCCAGCACAGTGGGTGAAAACTAAGGCACACTCATGTGAGTTCTGAAATTAGTTTTAGGAAAAGACATTAGTTTTTCATCTGTGACTTTAATAAACTAAGGCTATCATGGTCTGTTTGGAACCTGTTCCAATCTATTACACTTTCTCAATTTTAGAGAGTAACAAGAAGTGAAAAAGAGGAAGAGCATACACAATAAAAACTATAAATTTCTTGACAGTAGTTAGTGCTTTATCCATTTTTGTAATAGACAAAACTATACGTGACAAGTACTCAGTAAAACTTTGGTAACTATATGAACTAAAATTTCTTTAACCATTTGCAAAGGTACACCATGGGGCACCAGCTAACACTTTGCTTACCTGACTGCAATCGCAAGTGAGCCTCAATATTTTGGAGTCGTTCTTCTACAGCCTGATTACCACAGTCTCGAAGCATGCTGTTAGATTTATGACCTGACCCTTGAATTCCTTCAGGTCTAGTCTGTGGTCCATATGTATTCACAACTCTAGAAACTAAGTTGAGAAACTTTTACCAAAGTAAATTTACTTTTAAAAATAGAAATTCTTTCTCCCTAACAATACTTTATATTCTTTCCATAAAGATATCTAACCACGATCCAAGGATGAGAAAGGCAGTTATTTTTGTTTTGCTTTTGTTATGGCTTGTAACTAGATGTCCCCCAAAAGTCTCACACAGTCATAGGTGGGCTTTTTGGAGGTAGCTGGATCTAGAGTGTGATGCTGGGAGTAAGGATATAATGCTAGAATTGATTCATGATATGATGCTAGGATTATGGGTGGCCCACCCTGGGTATGTGTGCTACCCACCCTAAGAGAGGGTAGCCTAGATAAAATATAAGGGACAGAAAGAGGCCTGCTGTTACCACCTGTCCTTTGCTACTTCTGCTGCCTTTTGCCTGCCATGAATTGTTTTTCCTCTGTGATGCCACGCTGCACTGGAACCAGCTGATGATGGACTGAAACCTCTACAAACTGAGCTACAATAAACCTTTCCTCCTTTAACATTGGGTGTCGGGTGTTTTGTCTAAGCAACAAGAAAAAGTAACTAAACAAAACAAAATTTAGATAGGTAAGTTATTTCTATTTCATTTTGTTAATAATCTAGAATAAGCTTCTATCAGTAACAATGATATGCAGTTACTTACCCTTTACGTGACTTTTAAATCCGGGGTAAGGTGTAAAAACGGCATCAGTTCTTGCACAACTATTTTCTAATAATTCAGATGAATATAAGTCTTAATATAATCAATTTCAAACAAGAAGATTTTGATAAACTTTCAGTAATTTATATTAACACATTACTTATATGTGAATATAATTTTAAATAGTAATAAATGAACATCACATATAGGATAGAATTGAGTGATATTTATTCTCTACAATGAATCAAAACACCTAATATTATACCTAATGTTCAGATTTATGTACAGAAAAGCCATGAAGTATCATAACAATACAATTTTTAATGAAAACCAATATTTCTAAAAACTATTTGGGCCTTTGGAGAAGATAATTTATATATTATAGCATACCATATTTTAATTCCCCTTCATAGAAATAGAATTCCTTTTTATGAAAATATTCTTTTTTAAAAAATCGAGTATTTTTGATATTGCTGGCCAAATTAGCAAACATCTAATAAAATGAAATTAATTATATTATTTAAAACCTTTAATTTCAGAACGCTACATAAAAGATCTTGAAACCTCAGGTATAATACATACTTTCCCACTCTACCTAGATTTCCAATACACACTTAACACCTTTCCACCAGCCTGAACCACATGTGCCACATGCATGACTGTCTTATCAGGTGGCTTATACCACTGGTGGTATAAACAGATCCAATCACTTTTATTGGTGTTTTTATTAACAAAATTAATAAGAAGCCACCTGATGGGACAGTCATGCACATACCACTAGTACTCAAGCTGCCCCGCAGCAAAACATGAATTACAGCCTGTTGTGAACATGTAAAAACTGCTCATCACAGTCTTCTACTTCATCCTATTCTCCAACTTTCAAAAACTGCAATTACACAACAGATTATGTTTTGAAAATTTGTTTCAATTGACATGTCAATAAATTATAAAGAGAAAACTGGGACAATGTTAACATAATATCTAATACTATTAATATTTTTATATATTACATTACATATTAACATGTGTAACATATTATATGACACTATGTAATAAAAATGTATACTAATGTTTGAAATAACAAGTAAAACCATGCATTGGTAGTAAATTTTCTGCAAGATTCCCTTAAATATTTCATAAAAAATGGATGATAAATGAAATACTAAAAGAAAATTCTTTTTTTTTTTCCTCTGTAGAATTTTTTTTTTTTAATCTTAATCATTTATTTAGGTCAAATTGAGAGGTCTTAAAAGGAACACATTAAAATGTATTTTTTCAGTTTAAGTTTCATTAATAGTTCTGCTGATAAGTTGAATTTTGTGAATAAAATTCCAAATCCACTTATCTTTTACATGAGACTACTCATTTTTTGCGGGGGGAGACACCTTAAAGTATGCTTAAAGGGCGATTACTTCTCCAATCTTTTTCTACCATTTTACGGAACTAAGGGTTAAAAAAAGAAACTATCATCCATTTCAGAGCTATATTCCAAATATATAGATTAACTGACCCATCAGTGAGAAATTCAGCATGGTATAAGACAGTGAATGTATGAGTGCTAGTCACTCTCCACATCAATTCTTGCCAGCACTGTTTTGAGCCAGCAAGGGATTGAATAGGCCAAGGAATCCTGCTGAGCATTTCAATTCTTGTGAATTTCTATCCCTGGTGGTTTATAATAATAGAGTTAGCAGGGAGAACAGAGGAATAACATTAGTGACACATGTGCTTGCTCCCTCAACAGACCCTTTTTCATGGGTCGCTTGCAGTTGGATTGTGCTACCTGAGATTTTGCCTCTGTTTCACCTGTTCTGAAAAGTTAAGAGGAAAATATGCCAAATTTAGAGACAAATATAAATGTTAATATCAGAAAAAGTTGAATTTAGGTCCCAACCAGAGCCTATATTATTTCGTTAAGAGAATCAGTGTATGTATGATATGAGTCACTTTTAGGTTCATCTGACAATTCTTGTTCATAATAATTAGCTAAGAGATACTAGAGGCAACAAGAAAAATGTTCATTCTAATTATGAACTCTTCTTCATAATTTTTCCTAAGAACTACTTGCTCTGATTATTACTAGGATACTTGAATATGATCTATGGCAGTGTTATGCAATGCTGTGTATTCTGCAGCATACCTGCAGATCTGTAAACATATTATAGCATCAAGTGAAGAGGGAAAGAAGAATCTGATGAAAAACAGCAAATGTATGCACTATGAGAGAAAGGAAAAGAGCATAAGGCACCATGGTCTTCATGATAAATTAGTTGTATAGTGACATAAAACATTTCATACAACTCTGGAGTAGTGAGAAAACTGCTCCCTCTTGAGGAATACTATTAACTTTACCAAGTTCATTTTCTATCTTAACATAATTTCACAAGTGTATTTACAAGCTTGAAATTCATATTGCTTAGTTCCTTCATAATAGCGAGACTGAACAACTGCCACCCAACACACTTCATTTTCATTTCCTAGAGGAACTTTAAAATAACCTGTTTTATATCTGTGGTAAAACATTAGTCTTTTAATAATGTCATTTGATTTTTATGTAACCAAAGTAAAAATTTGTTTTGGAATACAGTAGAAGGAAATTCTACTGCCTTACTTACTAAAAACCTGTAAAATAAATTGAATTGTTCTTAATGTTATTCTTTTTTTTTTAAAAAAAAGAAAAAGTACAATTATAAAATTGTGCTTAAAATCCTGTGAAAATTAACATCTAGGTAGTTACCTTGATTACAATCAATAACATTGCAAAATTCCCTGACGTTGTTTTCATTGATTTCAGCTTGCTTTCTTTCAATAAACGCAGATATTCTTCTGTCAATCTACAAACAAGTATAATTTAACAATGTAAATGGAGTAAGACTTTTAAAAGTAATGTTGTTCTCCTTTTGCCCTCCCAAAACTTACTTCTGCTTTTCCAGCCTTTATTTGAACTACTTCTGAATCAAAATGAACTTGTATCTTTTTCACATCTCCTAAATCACAATCTTTGTGCTTTTCTTCCTCTTGTCGGTCACCAGGGGGAAATTTGGCATTTAGTTCATTCTTGTTCCTTGTTTCTGTTTTTCCTATCTCTTCAATAGCAGCTGAATTCTCCTCTTTAATCACAGGCTGAAGTTTTGCTAAAAAAGGCTGAGAACACAATTCCATCTGCTGGCGTTCAAACTAACCAAAATTAATTACACATTTAATCTATTTCTATAAATGTCTAAGTGAAATATTTAATATTAATTACTAAATATAAAAAGTTGATATACAAGGATACATTGGTCTGACTACATACAAGTGTCTGCTGTTTTCTGCTACAATGACCATTAACCATTTGCTATAAATGTTTTTGAAAAAGATAAAGAAAGGAAAAGAAAGAAAACCTGAAGAAATATAAAATTTTCTTGGAGAAAATCATTCCATCACTCGTCTTTCATTTTGTGCCAAATCAAAACCTTCAGCCTCTGGCACCAATGTCACCTAATTAACATGTCATTCAGATGCCTCCTCAGAACCCTGAGGCTTAGCATTTTCCCTCCTTCACAGGAGAGCCAGCTTCTCCCTCAGCAAAGCCCCGCATTATCACTACAGCACTGGAGATTCTCCACTTGAAACTGCAGTTGGCCAAAATGAGCGAGAGCGCCTGGACATGACATCTATAGGTGTTATGTTCAGTGAACACTCAGGCTTTTCCTAACATGGCAAGGTATCTTTTTGGGTTATGAAATTAAATTGTACAAGAGAAAATGAACAAGAAAAAAACTACTAAGACCCATAGCTGAAAACAGATGTCCATCACTAAACTAGAGGGGGAAAGCCTTATTGTATAATGTAAATTATATTACCCGTTTACTTCTCCCACCCTGTTCCCTTGCCACAATTAGGTCTCATTTGAGTTCTACAGCTCATTGCTCTGCCCTTTAAAAACAGGGTTAACCATTACTTTTAACATGAGACAGAGTTAAATTTTCCCACAAAGTCACTGAATAGAGGGTTGAAAATTAATGTCTATTTCATTAGTCAAAACACACCAACACTTAACCAATATTCTAATTACTTTTTTTATAGCTACAATTTTGCTTCCATTGTTTGATATACCAAATACTACTCTTCTGAAACCTTGTTAACACCTTAATCACAGTAAAGTGACCAATCCAAACAGTTCTTATCTTTTTGACACTTCATATTTTACATGTTGATTACAGATAAACTGCAACATACATCAATTATAATTGCAGAGATGTTCAATTAGAAACTAGTGAGGTCATAATACTGTTCAGTTACTGAACTGAAATATAAAAAATATAACAATACTATTACAAATAACAATTCAATAATGACTTCTAATACCAAAGCTGAATTATTTCAAACTGTTAAGAAAAGATAAAATAGTGACTGGCTACTTACTAAGATGAGACATTAATGTCACAGAAATTACTTTCTTTTTAAAAACTATGCTGAAACTGTTTAATTGCAATAGACACTCCAGGATGTGTCATGCTGGGATAATGCCACTTCTTGAACCACTGAAAGCACTCCATGAGCCTCCAAACTCACCCAAGGCATGGAATCATTATCATAGCATGACACACACCTGCCGTGTCTTATTGCTTAATTATAACCCACCATAGATAGAACTGTATTGAATTTTCAGTGCAAGTCTAGAATTGAATAGAATTGTACTCATTCAATCTCATACCCACATCAGCTTATTTGGCTATATTGCCATAACTGTCCTGATCACTACTAAAATTAAAGAGTTAGATTCAATCTGGATATAAGTAACCTTTTATTGATAACACTATTAACACAGTGTTAAGATAGAACCGATAAATATACACACAGCTAATTTAACCACAATTGATTTCTGTCTGTGATATCAAGTTAAATTTCTGACATGAAATTTACCTGTAAATATAAAATGTGTTGCTCAAGGGCTCTAAAGAGCAATGCAGGCTGGAATGCCGAGAGGCTCTGGAGCTTGTTCCAATCGATTGTAATTTTCACCACATCATCTTTGAGGTTAAGCTTCAAAGGGGCAAACCAGCAACATCACAAAAATTACATGATTAAGCGGTATATCTGGGATTGTCACAAAAATAAGATTTCTATGGAGTAACAAATGCCTATCAGAGTCATCAAGTTTTTAATGATACATTAAAATGCTCTGCCTAGTTACCATTTTAAAAGGCCAAGAAGATGCAGCACTTCATAAAAAATAAAAAGACATCTCAAATTTAATGGAGTCGTAGGTCTGTGTAATGGGACCATCTTACAGGTGAAACCATCTAAGAAAGATAAAAAAAATGAAGGCACTTCAGCATCTAAACACCTTTGGATAAGGTCCAAAATATGCATGCCCTATTCAGAGTCCTACCACTTCCAGCTCAGGCATTAAACAGAGAAGGTACGACTGTTGTACGAAAGTTCTAATATGTGCATTTTTCTTTGTTAAATATGTACACGAATACCTACCTGAAATACATCATTATACATCATTATTCTGATATCTTCTGAATAATGTTTTTATTGTTTTCAACTTTAACCATTTAAAAAAATAATTTAAACATCCAGGCTATTCATTCAACATTCAGGTTATTCATAAAATCTAGGGACAAGTGACAAAATGTTTATCTACAAATAAAAATTAAACTATTATTTAGTTATGGAAGTCTGAAACTGAAAAAAAGAAAAAACTCCATTCTAGTTAAAAAATTTGGCAGAGAGGATGGAATGTCCAGTATTTTTGCTAAATAGTATTTTCTAGTAAGCTATGAGGTCTCATTACATGTATATTTCTTATCAGTTGAAGATCAGAACAAAAACATATACAGAAAGCTAAGGACCTGAATATAAAATTAACATCAAAATCAGTGAAAAGTTTAGAGAGCCTCCATATGCAGTCACTGAGTAAAAGTGAACCTCCATAAACATTTCTGGAGATGTGTTACAGCGTAAGATAATATTCCATAATGGAATGAAGTTAATTACATTTTATTTTTCAGAAATATTTACTAAAAATGAATCATATTCTACAAAATAAAGACACATGTTATATAAGTTCAAATACAGATCTTATGAGTTACAATTATAATAAAACAAAAATATGAATCAGTGTACTTGGAATTAAGTGATCTCTGATTATAACAGGCAGCATACTGAATAAACACTATGTGTCAGAAATTTACTGCCCTTAGAATATGAAACCAGATGGATTTAAAGTCCATGTCAGATAAGTACAAAGAAATATGAAATTTTAGGTAGGCTGCATAAGTTTAGGTTAATTACGATTTTACATTAAGATAAATGCATTTAATGCAATTGATATTACTTTAAGGCCTACATCATATATTATGTATAAAAGTAACCCATTACCATACTTTTACAGTACTCCAAGAAATCAAAAGTCAATTATGGCAAATTTATGAATATAGTTTGAGGAAAAAGCAAGTAAATACTCCAGCAATGAAAAGTATCCTATTTTCTAGGGAAAACAGCCTATAAATAATAAATCTTAATGTTTGGATCATATTCTCACTTCAATTCAGCAGAATTATGTAAGCCTTCAAGTGTAATTAAGGATCCTTAGTCTTTTAAAGATTAATTTTCAGTAGAAAGTTATTAATACAAAATCCACACTAACAATAAATTAGCTGTGTAAAATAAGCCACCCAGAAGAAAGTAAAAGGTTAAAATTAGTAAATTTTGCAATTTGGAGTAGAAAATACTTTTTAACATTTGATTTTATGCCTCCTATTGAGGCAATTAATACACTGTATCTTCCTATTGAGATAATATTGAAGGGATAATACAATGATACTTAGGATGAACAAGGGCAAATTATTGTACAACATGCACTTTAAAAATCCTTTATACATATTCCAAAAGAAAATACTGACTTTGTGGTGGCAATTTTGTAAGTACTTATTCTGGCTTTCATTTCAGTGCATCTCAAAATATAGAGTATTACCAAAATGGTTAGCATTTACTTGATGAAATAATCTTATTTTTGACACTTTTATAGATGGCCCCTTCATTGTGTCAGTATAAACCCATAGATATTTAAACATTTTTGACAGTTGACGTATGTAAAATTCAATCGCTTCTACGGTTGTACTTTTAAAATACCAGAATGTTTAAAATCTTTTAAGTGAGTTAAATTCAGTATGCAAAATATTTTAAAAGAGACATTTAAATCATAATCATTTCTCAATGTTAATTTTTAAAACTTCTGTAAATAACAAGTGAGCATAAATATTTTTCATACTAACATTAGAATATGAGTAAGCTTTAAAGTTCCAATTGTCCATGTCATAAAAATATTCTTTAACTTTCACATCATCGAAAGGTCTGGGATTTTAAGACTGAAATGTTAATAGCAATCAAAAGTTCCCACATCTCAAAAAAAAATTTTTTAAGTCCTTGGCAAACAGCTGAGTTTGAAAGTTGTCTTTTAAGAGATTCTGTTAACATGTTTCACTACAAAAACAACAAACAAAAAAAGAAAAAAATTAAAACAACTGTTAAAAAGACTGATTCTCCATCCACCTAAAGCTTTTAGTAATAACGGTTACCAATCAGACATATGTTCCATTTTCACAGGAATTTAGCTTTATCTTTGAAATAAATGCTCGCAGGGTCCACTACATGCACTAGTATCAGCTGCAGAACAAACTAGGAAATAGTCCATGTAAGATATAAAAAAAGTATTTTTAAAAGCAGGCAAACATTTTTGTTTCTCATTTAAAAACTGCTTTGATTATTACATCATGAAACGAAATAGTGATTTCATCTAATAGAACGTAACGAGACCAGTTTAAAAAACCCAATTCCACGACATTTCTGCAAAAGCGATTTATCAGCCAGTTAAACTAGCTAATAAACAACAGTTCTAATGCAATCAGAATCAGCCATGGATAACTCGTGCAATTTTACACTAGAGATACAACGGCCAAAAGGAAAATAAACAAAACCAAGTGACTCATAAGAGCAAGTCACCCCAAAAAGGCGAAGAAGGCGCTTTTCCAAAAACCTCAGGCCATACTGACCAAACAATTTCTATGATGTATACGCTGGAGGAAAAAAGACCCTGATCCCAAGGAGCCTCCTAATCCCTCAGAGACGCTTTTGGGCACTCATTCCCTACAAGCGTGCTCCTCTCGGAGCCGGTTTTCTCTTAGGCCCCCCACCTTCCTAGAGAGGAGAGCTGTAAAGTAATCTAGTCAGGAATCCGTACAGAACTAAGTCAGTTCTACCATCCTCACTCCGACCCGAGGCCACCAGGCCTGGGCTCCTCCCCCGGCCTCAGCTACGCGGTAGCCTCCACGGCTGGCCAAGGTGGCCCCCTCCCCGCCCTCCATTGGAGCGATAAAGGGAAGAGGGGCTGGGTGGGCCTCTTACGCCCTAAACCCCACTCACCTGTCCAGCCAAGGTGTGCAGGGAGCGAAAGATTTCGCACAGCACCTCTCGGGAGTGGTTGGGACTGCAGCTTCGCTCTAGGATCCTGTCATTGTTGCTTGGGCGACTAAACTCCGTGGCAGCAGCCATGACACCTTCGCTAGCCGCCCCTAACACCACCGAGGTACAATCACAACTCCACCCCCACCATACTTTTGTCGCTTCGGGATGACGTAACAATCTAGCGTCTCCTTTAGAACAAGGCTTTAAATTCCCACCTTCTCTATGTGACTGACAAGCACGAGCCCCAACCAGGTGCAGCAATAGCGTGGCGCGGAGGAAACGGGTGTATCTTGACTAGCGGAAGGCTGGGCGTTCTAGTCATACCGGTGATTAAACAGTATTGGTGTGGTGAGGGATAGCAAGCATCGTGAAGCCTATCTTGACTGTTAGATGTTACTGTGAGTATTCGTAAGAGAAAACTTATAGTAAGTACTAGGCTTTGAGATTCAAATTAAAAGTTGAAATTTTAACATGGCAGCCTTGCTGGTCAAGGAAGGAGCAGTGCCCATACCTTCCTAAATACTGGAAAACTCTTTCACACAGAATTGTCATAATTGGATAGAACCTTTTCATCCCTACAAGGTTGTTTGACACACATCAATGCTAATTTTTCGTGCCAGGATGGAGAGGATGTAAGAAAAATAAAGGTGCTCTGTTATGCCTCATTAAGGAATGCCAATAATGACTAAAGAGTCTGCAAAACAGTTTATCTCAAGTTTCAAAAGGTTAGAGACACCGAATTGGTTCAGAGTGAAACAACGTTTGTGTGAATCCAACAGGTATTTAAGCCGAGTAATTTCATGTTACCACAATCTTTGAAATTAAAAGGACATAAAACCAAAATTTGACTTTAAGATAACTTTTACTATAAACATATTTAAAGTACTTTGTGACCTTTTAGTCAGATTCATAAACATTAAAACAGTTAACTGAAAAAAAGTTTTAGAACACATTTTAGTGTTGATTGCTTTTCAGAAATACTGAAATAAATTTAGAAGTCAGGGACAAGGGATTTAAAACTCTTCATTCTAATACATTTACAGTAGAGGAAGCAAACGTGGAAACTTGCACAAAGTATATTTAGTTTTAGAGCATCCTGAGTGAAACGCCAAGAATAAGGCATCAAGGAATTGTGATAAGGTCAATAAGGATAAAAACTCCTTTGACCTATCCCTAGAGAGCCTCTTAATTAGCTGTTCATTTCCAAAGGCATAGGGATCACCAGGCTTGACAGGATCTTGAGAAATCTTGTCTGTTCCCTTGTTAGCAGCAAGATTCAAGTACATGGCTGGAAGTACAGCCTACAGATAGAATACTTCAAAATATACAATCCCAAATTGAGCAACTATCTAATTCAAGCTACTCATCCTCCTAATTAATATACATTCACAATCTTTGCAATTTTAGCATATTTTCTTTGCCTCTGGTTCTCTTATTATTGGAGGATAACTGTAACGTGTTAGCTAAAAGTTTTGTTTCTGTACTAAATTAGCCACCAGCTTCAGATCATTTGTTTTTCATCAAACTGTGAAGGACTTTTTCAAATATGCAGGACATTTGTTTGCAACACATTGGGGAATGCTTTTTACATTAAAGTATACCATACTTAATATTTGTAAATATAGTAAATTACTAAGGTACTGCTCATTCCTTTCTTTGCCGCCATTGATTTTGAAATTCCTTTTTGTTACTTGATCCCTGTGGCCCTAAGACACAATTAACTGATATATATGTTCAAATTTATTTCAATGTGTGTCTCCCTATGAGTATTTATATGTGTCATATTGGTGTACTTGAGGCTTAGTGTAACTCCTGGTATAGATTAATTGTTCAGTACAGTTGTTCCCCTTTGTCCAAGACAGATACATTCTAACACCCTAGTGGAAGCCTGAAACCTTAGCATTTGATTTTAGGAAAAATATGTTCAATAGTGAAAAATGGCTAAGCAAACATTTCATTTTTTAAATTAAGTTTATTAGTACATTTTAGGTATACAATACAGTTACATTCATCATTGGGATCTTGTACCTTTACATGATGTATCTTGGTTCTTATTTTTTCCCTATTCCCCTGCCCTCCCTTCACCCCCTCCACCCTTCCCTATATACAAAGACTTTGTTACCATTTTTTCCTTTTCTCATGTTTTTTTCCCCCTTCTTTCCTTTCCCCTACCCCTCCTACTTCTCCTACTCCTTTAGACCTTTTCTTCCTATTTCAGCTATTAATTATACATTTCGATCCTTATTTACACTTTTAGTTTTTCACACTAGAGAAACTATTCTGTATTTACACATTTGTCCTATTTATTTCACTTAAGAGTATGGCCTCAATGTGCATTTATTTAGCTATAAATGTCTCCAGTTTCTCGTTCTTTATGGCTGAGTAGTACTCCATTTTATTAAAAAAAACAAAACAACCCACGTCCTCTTTATCCAGTCTCCCCTTGACGGGCAACTGGGCTGTTTCCAAGTTTTAGCTATTACAAACTGTGCCACTATAAACATGGGTGCCTGTATATCAGTGTGGTATGATGCTTTTAATTCTTTTGAGAAGATACCCAGCAGAGGAATAGCTGGGTCAAATGGGACCTCTAATCCTAGTTTGTTGTTGTTGTTTTTGGTACCAGGGAGGGGCTCAAACTTGGGACCTTGTGCTTGTGAGGCAGGCAGCAGCACCACTGAGCTAAATCCCTGGCCCTAATCGTAGGTTTTGAGGTATCTCCATATCGATTTCCACAGTGGTTACACCAGTTTGCACTCCCACCAACAATGGAAAAGGGTTCCTTTCTCCCCACAACCCCGCCAGCATTTGTTGTTGGTTGATTTCTTGATAGCAGCCATTCTTTCTGGGTGAGGTGGAATATCAGTGTTGTTTTCATCTGCATCTCTTGAATGACCAGTAACATTGAACATTTTTTCATATGTTTATTTGCTATTTCTACTTCTTTGTGTGAGAAATATCTGTTCATTTCAGATGCCCATTTTTGGATTGGGTCTTTATATTTGGGGGATATGATTTTTTTTTGAGTTCTTTATATATTTTAGATAATAGACCTTTATCTGAGGAACAGCTGGTAAAATTTTTTTCCCACACTGTAGGTTGTCTCTTAGCTCTGTTGATAGTTTCTCTTGCAGTGCAGAAGCTTTTTAATATGATGAGATCCCAGTTGTTGATTCTTTGTGCTAGTTCCCGTGCTACTGAGGATTTGTTCATAAAATCTTTTCCTTTGCCAAGGTCTTCAAGAGTTCTACCTAACTTATCTTCCAGCAAGTTTAGTGTTTCTGTTTTAATATTTAGATCTTTAATCCACTTCGACTTTAGTTTAGTGCATGGTGAAAGATAGGGGTCTAGTTTTAATCTTTGGCAGGTTGAAATCCAGTTTTTCCAGCACCATTTATGAAAGAGGCTCTCTTTTCTCCAGTGAGGGTGTTTGGCTCCTTTGTCAAAGATGACGTAGCTGAGTATGTATGGAGTTGTTTCTGCATCTTATAATCTATTCCACTGATCCTCAGGTCTGTTTCTTTGCCAGTACCATGCTGTTTTTATCACAGTGGCTTTGTAGTATAGTTTCAAGTTGGGGATTGTGATACCTCCTACCTTGTCTTTGTTGCCTAGAATTGCTTTTGCTATTCTAGGTCTCTTCTTGTTCCAAATAAATTTTTGGAGTTTTTTCTCTAGTTCTGTGAAATATACTATTGGGATTTCAATTGGGATTGCATTGAATCTGTATAGCAGTTTTGGAAGTATGGCTATTTTCACTGTATTGGTTCTTCCTAACCAGGAACAGGGGATGTCTTTCCATTTTCTTATATCCTTTTCAATGTCTTTTTTTAGAGTGCTGTAGTTTTCAGTGTAGAGGTCATTTGCTTCCTTCATTAGATTGATTCCTAAATATTTCATTTTTTTGGATGCTATTGTGAAGGGAATTGTTTCCCTAATTTCTCTCTCAGTGAGTCTGTTATTTGTGTACAAGAAGGCTATTGTTTTTTGAGTGTTGACCTTGTATCCAGCTACTCTACTGAATCTGTCAATTAAGTCTAGAAGTCTTTTGGCGGAGTTTTTTGGGTCTTCTATGGTAGAGTATCATATCATCAGCAAATAGTAACAGTTTAACTTTTTCCTTTCCTATCTTTATTCCTTTTCTTTCTTTCTCTTGTCTAAGAGACAGAAAGTTTCTTGAAGTTTTTTCTGCTAAATACTAGTCCCATATACACTGTGGTTCAGTTTTACTACAGATTTTAGCGATCTTAGCATATGATTTTTCCTCTTTCTTTATTGAGAATTTTCATCCTTTCACTTAAAGGAAGTACTTTACATCTTTTCTTTATCACATCCAAATAACTAGTATCACTACTCTTGTACTTTGGCACCACTATTAATTAAAATAAGGGATATTTTAACACATGTGCTGTGATACCATGACAACTCTGACAATTAAGACGGCTACCAAGTGACTAATGGGCACGCATCATAGATACCATGGATATGCTGAACAAAGGATGATTCATGTCCCAGACAGGATGATGTGGGATGACACAAGATTCACTACACAACTCAAAACTGCATGCAATTTAAAAGCTATGAAGTGTTTATTTCTGGAATTTTCCACTTATACTTTCAGATCATGGTTGACCAGAGGTAACTGAAACTGTGGAAAGCAAAACCATGGACAAGAAAGGACTACTATTTTGCTTGTTGAGCTCAATTTATTTGCCTAAAGTGAGCAGAATTTTAAATAGAAAAAAAAAAAGGAAACAAGTTGGTACTGTTGGGGAAAAATTGTGATAGACAGTAGGAATACTATACCTATTTCCCTTAAAATAATGAATTGTGTCTATTACTGTCTTTGGGGTAACAAATTCATAGTGCTCAATTTTTAAAGTTGTATAAATATTGCTAGTCTCAATTACCATTCTCATGAATGATACTCATAGAAATTAATTGTACCTACTAAATGCTAAGCACTCTGGATGACATTGGAGGTACAAAGATGAACCAGATGAAGACACTTACACAAGAAAGCTATCCAATAAAGCTGGTGTTTGTACATTTTTCCTCTGCTACTTTTTTTTCAGTACTGAAGATTAAACCCAGGGCCTTTGCACTGAGCTACATCCCTGGCCGGCAGCCTTCCCTCTTTTCTTGAGACAAGGTCTTGCTAAGTTGCTAAATTCCCTAGACTAGGCTTGAACCTTTGATACTCACCTCAGCCTCCCAAAGTGCTGGCAAAAAGGGCCAATTTTTGTGGATGGCTTTTTGTGGATTTTGGAAAGCTACCAACTGGCTATAGAGAAACCAGTTGCCAAAGTATCACCACTTCAAGGGGTCTTCTAGTCTCACATCACTGCCATCTTGGACATAAAACTCCTCTGTATGGCCACGCAACATGTTTTCTGCA